ATAAGGGAACTATTTTTCACGATTCGTATTCACAATGTATTTAAAAATTTTCGAGTTTAAAATTTGTGTGGAAATATCCGTTTTGGGCTCCCATGAACCCAAAAAACTGATTTACGAAGTCAAAAATTGTTTTGATGTGTGTATCTATATTTGTGTAGTTTTATGTGCAAGTACAGGTGTTCAGAGCTACAGATAACCCCCTGAGGTAAAGCTTTTGATGAGATATGGTATTTCGATACTAAATTTATGGTATATCCATGTACATTTGTTAATTCCTTAAACATTTTTATTTTCAATGACGATTTTTTCCAAAACAATATTGTAGGTGGTACATACCGTTCCATAGCTAAACTAATTCATGTTTAAAACTAAATGATACCAGACGTTTTTTCTAGATAAAGTACGTCTTATCTGTGAAAAAACATCTTCTAAAAAATTATTTTTTTTGGAAATACAATTCAGAAAAAATGTAACCGCCTAAAACAGCATTTGTTTAATTTATATCACCATGTTATTATAATTTATTTCTCTTAATATATTCAAACGTTTACTACAGAGCTTCGCGTGACCCGCACACCACTATGAGGTTAAAATCTCCCTAGAGACCTTCGCTAGTTAGTTACTCACAAAACAACTATCTGTGACATGCGAAGTTGGATAGCTGAGTAAGCAAGCTTTAAAAACTGTCATTTGATTATCAGTTCGCGATATACACTATTAATCAGTTCAATACACTCCCGATTAACATATAGGCATATTATTATTTCAAAAATCCTTTCGAGCTCCGCCCCAGTGGCTCTGGAGTTTCCCATGTTAACCTTATGAGAAATGGAATTATTGAATCTTAACAGCTGTTTCAATTAAACAAGTTGGTTCTGTTCTATGATGTTCAATAGCATTAAAGTTACAAGGATTACCAACAGGGTGCAGCACTATTATTTCTTTTACATTTATGACAACAGCTAATTCGAACGAACTTCAACCTGGAGGCGAGTTAGCGTAGCGAACGAGCTAACCTGAAGGCAAGTGAGCGCAGCGAACGAGCTTCAACCTAAAGGTGAGTGAGCGTAGCGAACGAGCTCCAACTTAAAGGTGAGTGAGCGTAGCGAACAAACTTCAACCAGGACGTGATTGAGCCATGCGAACGAGATAATCTTGAAAATTAAGAAGTTAAACGGGGCAAAGCCCGCGGGTTACAGCTAGTTTTTAATAAATATAACATCACACAGTCGTATGTCACGCAAATCAGTATGTGTTTTAACGTATCTACTAGCCCTACACAATGGATCTTCGTGTTGATATTTTATGGTTAAATAACAGTTCTCCGAATACATTTTATTTGCTTCCAGTATCATTTACTTGCCAGTAAATGTAACGCTATTTAAAGCTGTCATATTTTTTACATAATTGTATAACATCACCTGTGAAAAAGTCAGCATCAATAAAATGCAGTATGTGAACGTGGTTGTATAAACAAAAAAAAAAGAAGTAGAAAGAAACTGTGAAAACTTTTGTCTTATACCAATTACAATATTTTTTTTTATTTTAACAAAAGGTAATTGCCTTAAATTTCATTTCGATTTTATTAACTTATTGTTAATTTCAAATAAAACTACTTATCTAAACAAAGTCAGTTTTGGGGAAATTTGCATAATTGAAAAAATTAAACAGGAATGTTAATAATAAAAAATGATAAAACTGATGATGTGTTGATACAAAGGAAATTATGAAAATGGTGTACACAAAACTGAAACTAAAGTATAGTAAAATTAATTATGAGCTCTTTTTTAATTTGCTAACAGCTACTACTTTTACGCTTACTCCTCGGGGGGCACAGACCTAGGAATCGGAAGAAAACTGTTAACGTAAGAATAGATCGATATGCACATCGAATTAAAGGTCTTCACTAGTAGATTACAATGCCATGAATTCAAGCTCAAAAGAACGCCTGAGTAAAAAATGACAGTCGTTCAAAGATTAAAAATGGCAGATTCAAAAAAACTTTGGACAGCCGCCATTTTGCGCAGGATCAACCTTTTGAAGTGCGGTTTGCGACATTGTATTCTACGTGGTTATATAGTCAATGATTCTACTAAAAAGACCTTTCATTTAATGTTAATATTGACCTATGCTTCCGTTTAAGATTTTCTTCCGACTCCTTGCGGGACGTCCCCATGATATGACAGAAAATTCATAGTTCCTTGAAAAAGTAGATTTTTAGGTGTGGTGTTGATGTACCAAATCTTATTGATCTATCTGTTGTCGTTTGGAAAATATTAAGCCCGTGCGGGACTTTATATACACCCAGAAATATTGATATTACTTTAACTTTTTCCTATTTCTTATTTACTGTATTTCTATACATAATGTCTCTTAATGTGTATTGTTGGTGGACATATAAAAATAGCATAGATAGTTATTGAGTGACGGTATACAAGTTTATTTTTGCTTCAATAACTAAAACTGTAACATAAGATAAAAAAAAAAATCCGTTTATTTTTTAATTAGTAAACATTCAAAAAACAACTCTTGTATGCCGATCATAAAAAAAAAAACGGGTAAGCAACAAAAATTAAGTAACGATTTCAATCATTACAAAAAATGGTTCTAAAAGGTTTATATTTTTATGTAAAAATCTGCAAATTATATACTATATGAGATTATTGACATTTTATACTGTAAACGCTATAAAATTGATGCATTCATGAGTGTAATGAAATGTATCGATTGTTTATGTCTGAATGCAGTCACACGTACAACCTCCGCCAATGAATGGCTTCAATTATGCGGAAAGCTCACTACCCATTTTCTCTCCCGTTTCCAATTAAAAGTTTCTATTAAATATTTAATTGGTTGAATTCCAACCTCCTATTCATAAGGGGTTTAAAAACACTCAACGACCTGTTCGGATAATGATCAATTTGCCTTATACATTAAGTACATTAGTGATTGTATGCATTTCTGTTTTATTATTGTCAATATTGTGTAAATCAACCAGCTCGTAATTTAAAGCTAAAATTATAAACACAGTTTAAATTTACTTTAGCGATCATACCCTTATTTTTGTCAAAACTGTCCATGAACAACACTTTGTAATTTATTTTTGAAAATGGTTACATAGTTCTTAATTGCAGATATACAACAACAACAAACTACGCAATACATCTACTCAAGAGCTGAACAAAATCAACTCATATTATATTTAAGTTTAAAGTAAACCGCTTACATAGAGCTTATAATATTCTATACAGTATTATTCATGTTTACCTTTTTATATTTGTTACTGGAAACAATAACATCATCAATGAAAGATCTCAATTATTAAATTTTGTTTGGTATTAAGCTAACCCCACCCTTAACCAGTATCGAAACACATAGCTAATTGCACTTTCCCAATCCTAGATGAACCAAGTGTTATGTTTCCACTTTCAATATAGACCTAAATATTTGGCATTTGTGGGTGAAAGAAACTGTGTAAAGAAACTGTGTGGTTGAATTCTGCTACTCAATACATTTATGGACTGTTACTACTATAAGTATGATGAATACAGTACAGTAGCACAAACGATGAGTTAAAGCCACCAGCAGGGGGCGACCTATATAAGGACCTTAGTGCTTTTATATGTTCCAAGATTTCTCTCATATTTTCTCGCCTCTCAGGTCATATCCGGGTCATAAAACCGACATAAACCCGGTTTTAAACTTGCCATCGTAATAGAAACTTAACTGTTAAGGTAATAATAATCTAGAATTCCATAAGGTAAGTTTGTTGTGTATCATACCTTTGAAAATGTAACGTACATAATCTATATGTTATTTCTTAAGTAGTAGTATACTTTACTACTAACTGATTCGTGGACCTTATAATTATTATTTTAATTTATCATAGCATAAATGATAGTAGGCAATTTACCTCTATGTATAATTATTTTAAATCTGTGACTTTTGATTAAATGTTTCATGTAATGTACTTTTTATAATGTCAAAAAAATGTGAGACGATCTTGACGTACACTTGAATAAAGTAAAATAAGTACCTTAAGGTGAGCAGTAGCTTTGTACAGCAATTGGTTACGTTACTTCAAGTCACCTTCATTGAGGAGACTGTTACCTATAGATTGACTAACAATTAAGTTTGAAGTGCTCTTATGATAGAAGTTTGACTGGTTAAACTATTTCATTGTGTAGGTTATACCTTTCTATAAATTAACATAGTATGATAAATAAAACATCCTGATGTACTTCCATTTGTAATTAGTGACAAATTTGGTTACTAATATAATATTAATACTAATATACTGTTTTTCGCCTAGCAAGATTCCGTAGTAAAGGGTTTCACGCAATTTTAGGAAACTATATAAGCCGTAATATTTTTTCAAAACTTACGTATTACACAACAAACCTAAGGACTCAGGTTGATTGCATTAACTATTTCGTAGATAGATTTTACAAAGTCATACAACAGTTTGAAACTGAATACGTGTGCAGCTTGGGTCACTTGGGATTAATATTATTGCTGAGATTATTTATTTTATGTGACTTCAACACACCAGGATATGTATAAAAGATAGCCGTAGTGTAGATATAATAAGATAATAGCATTTAAACGGACGAATATCAACGAATTCCTTTTCTTGTAAGAATAGATTACTTACGTCAATAGCTCATTGAAAAAAAAATAATTCCTTTACTAGAATTGGTAATAACGAACTGTCTAACTACTAAAAGAGGTCCATGTTTCAACCATAAAAAGTGCTTTATATTTGCTTTACGATTTTGTTTCACGGCCCTAAACTTTTGTGTGTTAAGGACCTAACAGGCAATTTAATTTTGTATTACAATATGTATTTTTAATTCAAGCATGATTGTTCAATAGAAAATTTAAACAATTTGCTTTATATAAATGTTTTTATTTGGAAGATACAATTTGCCTAATAGCCTACTTTATCGATCCTTTACGTTATTATGACCATAAACATGGAATATTCGTTAGCCCTAAAATTATAGAGACAATTTCTAGACAGAACAGAACAAATGTAGTTGTTAAGCATATGGACATATCCAATTTTTACACAACGATTAAATAAATTTTTATATAAATTATCCTTTTCCGAAACATGTAAGGGACACAAATAGTTAGGTTTTTGTTGGTAAATGGACAAAAATACATTTTTTTTCATTGTAGTAAAACATATATAATATTTGGTATAGCAAATAGTTAAACCAACAAAATTATTCTAATAAGCTGTTGCTGTGTACAATTAATGACCATTTGAAACCTCAATTTAGGCTATACACCAATATACTCTACTCATAGATCTCAAAACAACAACATACCTGAAAATAAACGGCGAAAGGCATGACGACGACGGCAACAAGAAGATCGGCAAGTGCGAGACTGATGATGTAGTAGTTGGTAGCAGTCTGCAAGGACCTCTCCCGGAACACCGCAAGGATGACCAGGACATTCCCGAAGAGGGTGAGGAACGGAAAGACGAGCAAGAGGAGGGCAAAGTAGTTGCGAGCGGCGTGAGGAGTAACAGTGGAGTTGGAAGCGTTTGGGGAAAAAGAGTAGTTGAGATCCAAAAGCGGGAAATTCTCCCAGTCGAGTCCCACGGACGAGTTGTCGGGTTCCAGGAACGTGAGGGTAAGATTCGCCGGAGACATCGCGTCACTGACACTCACGTCGGCCGCACCTCTGACAGATCGTCAACGTCATAGCTGTTGATTATTATTCCCATATAAGTCTATGTGACGTCACATCCATTATTGTTTAACTGTCCACATACACTAAACAATTGTTTAGAATTACCAATAACGTATTTTGTCTACCATTCGGAGAGGATATTTAATATTAGAATTGTTATGAAGTTGTAAACTTCTAAATTTGAAACTAGAGTAGTGTACAATATTGTACAAAAGAAACATCGCTATTGTTGGACATAAAAGCAACTAATATTCATTTAATAATAATTTACGAAAATGGAAAAAAAATTATATTACTTATTATTCAACTGTAATGAATCTAAATAGCATGGTTCTGTAAACGTCCATTAATTTGAACCATATACTATTATTGATTGATAATGTTCTGTTCGTAGGAAAAAATATTTTGGTTCCTATAAACGTTTTATTTAAAATCTATAATCATCCTAAAATAAATACAAATTTTTATTGAAACTATAATTGATCAAATATCCTATAACCTAAGTTTATTCATGAACAAGTCAAGCTCTAAATATATGACGTGAAGTACCACAAAATACATATATTTGTTGTTTTTGTTAACACAGTAGAGCGATAGAACCAAAGCGAGGCAGGTCAATCTCATGGTGATCTCCAACCGCAGTTATCGATCACTACAGCAACAAGTCACCACATTTAATACCGCCTCGAACATCGGCACCCGGACATGTTTCTGTACGGATTGAAATATTTCCCAAAAATATACCTATTTGGACAAAATCGGAAAATAAATATAAACGAGAGTATCACACATAGTATCAGCATCAATGGTGTAAGCTAGTTGATTTGTGTTGGGAATGCTGATTCTAATACACAGCACGATAGCGGGTTGTAAATGTTGGCACTACGAACAGCGACGGCACTAGTGCACCACCGTGAGGCACTCCCTTATCCGTACCACCGTGTACTCAGCATCACTGGCGCTGTATCGGCCTCGCCTCAGCATCTATCAGCGCGCATGGCCGCGCACGCGCTCCCCCTTCCGACCAATCGAGTCTTTAATCACAACTAAGAGACCCTCTTCGCGAGTCGCAGCTTCTTTTCAAGCTTTTTATTCTGGTCCTCAGCGCCAAGAGTCCTTCATCGCACGTGTTGCATGTTTCCGCCGCTTTACACTTTTAAAGGGGCAATTGACACAAGAGATACTTTACTTTTATCTCGGTAAAATGCGGTTTGTTATAGTAGAAAAGTTACCAAATTGATTTATTTGTTTGTATATACTAATACAAGTTTATTATTTTAAAATGTTCTAGTTAAAATATATTACGTAAATATGAAATGTATGGACCAGTAATTTGGACGAACATGTGCACTTTGTCATTAATCAAAAGGTAAAATCCTATATATTATTATTGTGTATACTATAATGCGAGCTCTGTTTGTTGCCTGTCTGTTAATATTTATCTCGAAATCCAGCGATAGGATTTTTACTAAATTTTGGAATTAGGGACTCATAGTCCTAAAATCGTGATTAGTGACATCCACTGCCTCAGGAAAACTCGTATTTCGCTACGTAACTCATAAAAAAATTACATTGGCCTTTTGGGTTGGTTCAATTACTATGTTGGTTAAATAAAATAACAAGGAAAGAAAAAAAAATTAATAATGGTTAAAAACTTACTTTGTCAGACAATCCTTGACATGTTTTATAGTGTCGAAAATAAACTTGCTACATTTTTCGGTGGTTATTAAATTCCACCATCGTCAGGCACACAAAAGGATCCACTTCTTGAGGTGTCGTCAGAGTTGTTACATACATTTAACACAAACACAAAACACGAAACGATTAAATACACGGTAACAGATAGGCCTATCAACTTATGCACGTACACCTCAAGAAGTGGATCCTTTTGTGTGCCTGACGATGGTGGAATTTAATAACCACCGAAACATGTAGCAAGTTTATTTTCGACACTATAAAACATGTCAAGGATTGCCTGACAAGGTACGTTTTTAAGCATTATTAATCAAATTACGCAATCCTGGGGCTATAAAAATGAATTATAAAAAAATTACTTTGTAAAATGTGTTCAAAACAAGCCATCCACAGTATACTAGCAAATTATTACGGAATAAAGTACAAAGGGAAAAGCATCCATTGTAACTATTAAAGCAAAAAGATTACACTGAAGTTTACTCGACATAAGGAAAATATAGCGTTTCTTAATGGTGACGTTTGAGTGCACTGGTGCGAACTCAATGTTTCACTTTATTTAAGGCTATATTTTACAATTTATATTTACTCTTTTATTTTTTTTACATAATTTGGACAGCTGTATTCAGTTGAATTGTATTAAAGTTAATTGTATTACAATAATCTTTATAGTAAGCAATATACGTTTCAATAGGACTTATCTGTCTTCAGCTAATCCATAATATGATGGTATTTTAGAGAGTATGATGCTCATGCTGACGTTTTACTTATACTTAAGAATTTAATTTAGTACCAAGAAATAAATGACACCCTTTACATACGCTGTATATGCTGTATTAATGTTATTGTTGCTGAATGCTACTGTATTAACGTGTGAGTGTATATTAGTTCCTACAATGGGAACTTATATAAAAAAAATACTTTAATTTTTTTATCATTTGTTTTATTTATTTACAACGTACTAAGTTTTAGTGCTATGATTTTCCAAATTAAATAGTTTATTAATTTTTTTTAGCCATAATCTGTAAGCTGAGAGCAGTTTTATATAAAAATAGCAAATTTAGAGGTTTTGTAAGAATACTATATACGGATTAATTATCACGAAATATTGTTTGCATAATATACTACTAGTAAATTGCGTTTAAGAATATCTAAATGATCAAAAATAGGTGAATACAGGCCTACATAACAAATCAGTATCAACCTAAAGCCACAAACTTTGATATTAATGATCTTTTTATCTATAGCAAGGTGAGTTTAGATCACATTAGTGTATAGAGGATAGTTTCTCTTGAATTAATGTATTTGCTAACTTATAATTTATTCTGGGTAAATGGAACGGATTTCATTACCTTGGATTGCATATACTTGATGGTAACTCCTCTTCTGACACAAAAACTAGTTGTTAGTTGGTACTGGTATGGTTATCCACAAGAGCTCTTTTATTTTAATGTTGTATTAGTAGGAATGTCATAAGCAAAAGCATAACACAAAATGTATGCATAAGAAATTTAGACATTAGTTTAAGAGTATTTTTTAATATTTATTGGAACTAAACCATATAAACTAATGTATGGTATATATATTTTTTTTAATTTCTATTTATATTAGTGAGGATGATTATTAATGTTATGGATTATTAATACTATTTATGTTGTGTTATTTTTTTCATTTTGAAATGTCAGGAGCTTTTCTTGCCTTTTCACCCCGTATAAATTGGTTCAATGGTTTGGTCCGAACAGAACGTAGGTTCGTCTCAATAAAATTAATTTGTGACATTTTCTACGGGCCAAATTTTGTTAAGGTTTTAAAGAGCCTCAACACATAGTATGTCAGATCCATATGTCCTTGTTAGTAAACTTGTACCAAAAGTGAGATGCTGGCATGATAAGACCTAGTCCAAAGACCAAATTACTTTTTTCATCCAAATAATGCATATACACATTACCGTATGTTATTAGATATTTAACTCTGTTTCAGGATTTATCATTCTATTTGATCAGCTTATAGTATTTTTACCAACTAATATTTTCTTCTTACATACATTTTAAGGAAAAAAATATTGGCCGTTGGTGTTTTGAAGTTTTAAAAGTTTACATTTTACATACCGTTGATTTTAAGGTAGGCGCGTTTGTTCCGATGCCTAAACAGATTGTTTTTTAATTTAGCTTTTCCCATAAAAGAAGTGGTAAGAAGTTAGCTATACTCAAAATGCTCGAAGCCTCCATAAGCCACTTTGAGCATCGTCTGATTCAACAAATCTCAATCATGGTTTAGTTAAGAAAATGGTACAATCCGAATACAGTAGTGCAATATAAGTTAGCACTACACTCAGTGAGTTCAAATGCTCTTTCTCGACAAAAATATCAGTGATATAAAAATCTATGACTAACTCCTAAACCTAAAAACGTATATTGAATAAAATTGTTATTCCACAGTGTTCATTACCTTTATGAAATCTGCAAATCGAAAACTATACCATAAGTTTACCTACAATATTTTTTATAATAAATTGCAGTTAATTTTGGAGTTTGTAAAACTGTATTAACTTAATACCATAAAATAAGATTGAACTTCTTTATACGGCAAGAAGGACCAACAACTGTTGCACGGACGTTACGATTCCTTGCGGCATAGTAATTGATGTTTCGGAGAACTTGAAGCATTAATTAGTCGAAGTTGCCTTCAGCAAGCAATTATTACTTAGTATTAGGTAACTCAAACTGGAGTTGACAAAACCATGTTTGATGTTTGTCTAAGGTGGACGTAGTTATTTCAAGAGGCTTATAAAAAATGTGTGAAATGTTTGATTAGTTACACACTGACACAAAATCACACTAACATAGACACTTTTACAAACAATTAATACTTAGTATTCAGTACACCAGCACAGACAAAAACCAGGATTTGAATTAGGCTAAGGATTTGTTAGGAAACAATCATAATACTATGAAACACATTAACAAACACATATAAAACCCACTATGTTAAGGACACAATACAATAAAACATTTTATAGGGAAGAAGACGTACTATAATTTGTTATTATTATTATTTTTCTCTGCTTTGTGAGAATGCATGCATGCATGTGCGTTTCACAGTGAGAGGTTATGTTCTTTCAAACCAAACGTTTTCAGTATCAGATTTTTCTTTTACTTCTTTTTTTCAGTCAGCTCAGCTCGACAAACAGTTCAAACATGGTCTACGAACCGTGAAAAACAAAGAGGACCAAATATGACCAATCCAAAAAGAATTATGTAGATTATAAAGCAATACTCATGTAATTACATTTTAGATTTTTTAGTGTGCTACCAACTACTTTGTTTCAAGTTAAAGTGCCTGCCACAAACCGCCGTAGAAATATAGTATATTAAGAAAACTTTGTTAAAAAAAAATGTAAACTATTTGTTTATTAGCCATATGTTCAATTGGACCTCACCGACAAGTTTTTTTTTTAAACTTGGTGAGGCCAAGATCTTGTAATTTCCATAGTAAATATATTTGAATTTGAATTATTTAAATTTGAATTTGAGTTATAAGTTATTTTGACTAAAGCATAAAGTAATTAACATATGTTTTTTATCAACAAACAATCAATGTTTTTTTTTATACTTGATGTAGACGTCTATCGTATTCAAACAGTCTATACAATTCTTAATGCAATTGTTTGAAATTTGTAGAATAACTGTTTTGAAAACCGGTTTCTCGAGTTGGTCTACATATTGAGATTTTTAGAGGATTTACACACTAGCCTCTGATTCTAGTTGATAAAAATGAATTATTCCCACGAAACGTACAAATTTATTATTATTTATTAATATACTGTAGGTTATTTGGTAATTAATGTATTGTATGAATAGACACACGTACCTTGATTGTGTGAATTATATTTTATACAATATGAATTAAGGCACATTTGGTCCACATTCAATTTTCGAGGTTTTTACCTATCTGTAAATAATTGATCGTGATTTAACTTTAATACTTATGAAAACTTTTTTATGACGATTTTCTGGCTACAAAATTATACTGTTTAATGGACCAATAATTCAATAAAAAAAAATTGATTTAAAAAATTAAATCTAATTACCAATAAAGATTACAATACTTTTACTCCCTTTTAGCTTGTTCTGTCTCTGTAATCCCTGCGTTTAGAATATACTTGAATTCGATAGTAGTTAGTCATTTTCGTATTTGGTCTATACGAGCCTTAGTGTGAAATTTATAAAATAAAAATTTAGTAAAAAGAT